TAATGAAAAATAATGATAAAAATAATTAAAATAGTGAAAATTAGCCATTTAAAAATATTTATGTATCCATACAAAAAAAATCTTGATATAAATTTATCAAAATAAACATAAAAAATTATAAAATTGATACAAATATTGTTAAAATATTGACATAAATAAATGAGAATTATCGTAAAACGTCAATTTTTACTAAATAAATATACTTTAAGTGAATATTAATCATTTACATTTATATTCTCGAGCAAGAAATATTTAATTGTTTACAAATTTTAATTTATAAAAAAATAATAATTAAAATAAATATAACTATAGTGAAAATAAACTATTTAAAAATCTTGACATCAATTTATAAGAATGAATGAAAAAAATCATAAAGTTTGTATTTTACATCTTTTGAAGATTGCTATCTATCCATGAAGGATAGAGTAGAGAAAAATAATAAAGTTGAAATAAGCATTTTTAAAATATTGACATAATTGTGAAAAAATTACCGGAACGTGTCAATTTAAACAAAGTAAACATAATTTTAGTAAAAGATAATAATAAAAATACTTAGTGAATATTAGCCTTAAAAATCTTGACCTTATTGTTGATTTTTTATATTAACTTTCAATGTTAATGATCCTTATAATTATATAATTATAATGTTAATATTAAATGTTGTTATATTTTTTATCTTTAAATTATAGTATTATATTTAAATATTTAATTTGAGTGTAACCAAATTAAATTAGTTAGATATAATGTTATATTAAAAAGAATAATAATCTTACTTTTTACAGTAAAACATAGAATAAAGATAAAAATTTAATAACATTTAACTTAAAACGGATAACTTTAATTAACTTGTTTAACTGATTTTTATTGTTTTTTTATAAATTATATTATTTGACTTTCCAGTAAACTTATAAAAAAAAGGAAATGCTTTCATTTTCTTTTTTTTTTAAATTACATATCTGCCATTTGGAAATGTATACTACTAATTTTTCTTTCATAATATCTACAAAAGTCTTTAAATTATTTAAAGAAATTCAAATAAACTATTTCATTTGCTAGCTTTAAGAAATTTTTATTTTCTTTTCAAAAATTTAATTTTGTGTTTCTATAATTTCATAAAATTAGATAGAAAAATAATTTATACACTTAGTTCATAAATAAACACATAAAAAAATAATTTACCCTTTACTTTTCAAAATCATATTTTTCTTATAGACATTTTAACTCTCCGCAGCAATTTTTCGTGACAATGCCGAACACTCAAATATCTCGAACCACAATTTTCCACGACAGTTTTTCGATCTGAGCCTTTTTTTCACCTCAAAGCAACGCCAAATTACACCTGAGTTCTCTATCGATGCATGAAAAATAAAATCACATGACATAAAATTTAAATTACAGAAGCAAAAGGCAAAAACGAGGCTGCAAGGCATCCACCATTGCATAGTAGCAAACTGCCAGATTCTAATCTGTTTCTAAGAAACACATGATCAAACAACAAACTCTGTTGTTTGGCCTGCAAATTATACTCATCCGGATCGTACCTATTTCTCGTGACCTGTGAATCGATGTTAACTTTCCCTATGTCTTTCTCAAAACCTTTGACATACTTCCTAATGTCATGTTGAAGCTCACATATTTTACCTGGTTTGGGAGAAAAGGAAAACTGGAACTTCTGACCCCATTCCCCATCGGTACTGTTCAGAATGAGTTGATCTCGAGTCTGCTCCATGCTATCAATACTGGCTGTTAAATCCAGAGGATCATGGCTGTATGTGAATTGACATTCCTGCAAACATGGAGAGATTTTCTTTAGACAATATGGATAACATAGCAATCATGCATGATTTTATACATAACTACATGATTTCTATAATTGTTGTACTGAAGTACATTCCTATGTCCATATTTTCTTCTCCTTAATCTTGGCCTCAAGAAGGGTTAAACATTTAGCCAGTGAAAAGGAAGCAAAAATAACATGGGAATCGGGGAATCATGCTGTAAAACATTGTTCCTGTTTTTCTATAAACATTAATTCAGTAAAGAAAAAAACAACAAAACAAAAAACAAGAAGAATTTCTACCCTTCCAAACAACCAAACTCTTAGATCGAGACTATCTAGGATATCCCAAAGAAAGAAAAAAGGATAAGATGTTAGAAGATAGTGCAACAAAAGCCTACTTGCCGAAGAACGCACTTCATTTCTCGAGAAAGTAATCCTAAACGCAATTTCAGTTATTTTTTAACAATATGATGCGGTCTACTTCAACTCACCCCAATCAAAATCCAAAAGTATATGGAAGGAAATTTTAGCTAGTCGATTGTAAAATAGAGGATGCTGAAGGTACAGGTCAAAATGCAACTTGAAAAATATTTTTTTACATCAATTTCATTTAATTATTTAACATTGTCAAATATGTATCTCAACATAACCCATAAGAAGGGGAAATTAGTTATAAGCCTCAGCCCATAATGGTGCTGACCCATTATCAATGGTGTACACATTTAGTGTAATACAATTTTTGAACAATTTATCTGACTCATGGGTTTCGGTTGATGTGTTGGTCCTCATGCAGAAACATATATCCTGTATGAGATAAAGGAAGATCAAATATAAACACTCGAGGATACCTCCTCTTGCACATAAATATCTCCTTTATGAGATACTGCAGCTTTCACACTAGTGATTTTCTCAAAAGGCCACATTAGATATAAGATAGCAAAAATTCATCATAAAAGGTAAAAGGGAAAGAAAAGAAGGGCTGGACAAATATGAGCTTTGACAAGCACAAGCCTCTAGTTATCACTAACTGGAATGTTATTTGATTTGCTGATCAGTTCAAACATCTGGTTTTAAAAAATAATGTAAAGAAAAACATAAAGGCAAAACACCAATTTATAAGAAACTTAACCTGTTTATCAGGGAGATAATTCCTGGGGAAATTGGAGGCTGGAGTGCTTGAACTTGCATGCGCCAATGATATGTTATCACCATCTAGGGTGCCAACTCCAACTAATTTGAGTGGTGGATCTTCTAGTGATGAGAAGTCAGAGCCATCAAATGTTGATAGTGAGACACACTCATCAAAATAGGCGAGGGCATCTTCAGTTAGACATTTTGAGATCTTCCTTCTATCAATACTAGACTGTCACCATATTTAGGTAGAACACATTGAGAAGAGAGAATGCAAAGAAGCAAACTTAAAACACCAACATATATGCAAATTATCTAAAATATTTCCAGTTAAGGATCAAGGCAATGCTGCAACTATTTTGTATGCATATCTTTCGTACGCACTAATACTATGCAAGGACTCATCACTGAATCTTAAGAAGTCACATTTTAATAGAAATATGACCTGAAGCATTGTTATTTCAAATTCCTAATTGATGCAATATGTGTGATCTGCAGTTGCGTCAACCAAAAATAAGATTTATATAGAAGAAAGTGCATTGTTATAAAAAAAAGATGAAACGATTTCTCTAAATTAAAGAACCCAACAAATTGAGAAAAGCAGATCCGAAATGAAAATAGAAATCTGGATAATCCTTTTCTTCCATTATGACTGGTCCATTCAATACAACCCTCATCTGAACAATGATAGGCATGCATAAGTACACATATTGCCTTTGTATAAGTAAAGCATAAGAAAAGTGTGAAGTGTGTCAGAAAATTTAATCTGAAAACTGCATATGCCTACTTTTCTTCCTTGACGGGATTTCTTCGTGCTAGGAGTCTTTGGATCTGGAAGCACTTCCTTCAGGATCCTACTAAGTTCCATACCACGGTGTTCCTCTACTGCCAGGTCAGCTCGAAGCTGTCTGGCACGTTCTTGGGACTGCAAGTAAAATGAAAAAGGAAAATATCTACTTTAAAAGCCTTTATTCAACTAAGAAAGGTGAATAATTTTTACCAAGAAATGAAGACTAATAGTTCCCAAGATATGACATTACACACACAGGAGCAATGTTGACTTATTCTATTATATCAAAACTTGGTAACAAGACAATTACAAATATGTGTTCCTATTAGATTAAGCAATTTATTTAGACATCTGAGAAATTACACTTATTCCAAAATTATGTCCTGAGCACTTGATAGTTCAAAATACGGAATATTTTAGTTATTTTCTATGTTTTAATTGAACGCTGCTACCATAGCCATAAAGAGATGCTCAATTAGCATAGCATGTTGCTATGATTGCAAATTTAGAAAGATCAAACCTAACAAGGTTCTAGATATTGCTTTTCGACAATATCATAGTTGTATCATACCCATTTTTGGATGTTTATACACTTCAACCTTTCTTCATTTTTTCTTTCATTACATACTCCATATTCATTCTTACCCTGCTCACTCCATTCAATCCTTTCCTGCATCATATATTTATTAGCAATCACATTACTCCATTCAGTACAACCTCCCTCCCCTGCTCAAACACGTCACTTGAACTCAGATAACGCCCACTCCTCTCTAACTGCCATTTAATCATATCCCATCATTCCTATTATAACAACAATAAAAATAACTAAACCAAACAGAAAGAAAGGTGAAGTCATTTGCAGACTTTACCTGAGCGTGTGTGCATGTGTAGCATAATGGAAAAATGTTTTTCAATCATAAGCAGAAGACATTTGCAGAAAAGAAAAATTACCCGCTCCAGCTTTGTGGCATATTCTTGTTGTATGTCTGACATTGCACCCTGGTTCACCAAGTCAGGAGGGATATCAGTCACATCAGTACTAGTAATTGCAGTAACATTACTCCTCCTGATTGCCTGAAATCAAAAGAAGCAATAATCAATCAGCAACTGGCATAAAGTTCAACTTCTCTGCAAGGAAAACTTGAAGCATGCAGTCCGAACTGTGAGCACAATGACTAATACCACATTCAAGTATTTCAACAAGTAAACAAATTTTACAGGTGAGGTCAAAAGCTAAAATACAAAAACCTTACAATTCTATAAGTGCAAATAACCCAAATATATGTATCTATAAGTATGCATGTATTATTGAAATAGGTCACCAATATCACTAAAAATTACTGCTAGAAGCCAACATGAGAATAGCTGTGTTTATATATCCAATAAAAAACCAACTATGTATAGAAAGAAATCAAACTCTAAGTTTGACCACAAATTTAAGGTCAGTTTGGCATGCATTTTGTTGTGTCCACACCTCTTCTTAATTTCACCATTGCATCTCATACAATAATGCCTGTTTCTGAGCCATGATTTGTAAGTCTTATGTTACTAGTCTGGTAACTAGCAGGACAACAACAAGTAAGGATATTCCAGCAGCAATTATGTGCACCTTTATTTAGATTTGCAGAGACTGCTGATTAAAAAGTCAAATAATTATTAGCAACTCTCTCACTTCATATGATGACTTCAATAATATGTGATATCGCATTCCAAAAATTAGTTCAAGGAGAAATCACACAATCTGTGACCAAAGTTTTCTAGCATGAAAGCAACATGATTGCTCCAATTATCAGTAAACTATCACAATATTCTTCTCTAGAAGATTAAAAAGCATACACAGAGACAAACTATGAAGACAACGGAATTGTGGTGCTCATTATTAACCAACTCTTTTTTTTGGCAATGCCACAAAGTTAAATTTTTAAAGAAATAACAAAAAATGCAGGATCATCAAAACACTGAGAACAAATCACACTAAATATTTATAAAAATTAAGATGTCATTTGGCTTAATTGCACTCAACTTAACTCATGTAGAGACCCAAAGGAAAATATTGAATTGAAGAAGCCAAATTAACTTACGCTCTCCAGCTCATTTTGGATGTCGGAGATAGCCCGTCTCACTTCTGATTTAACAGTTTTATATATGTCACTAGCACCAGTATCATCTCCCACCAAATTGTCCCCCTGGAATGACTTCAAAAAAGCATGAAATTAAAGTACATCAGAAGAGTTTGCATCTAACGTATAAAGCAATAAAATTGATCAACATTGACATTCAAAAGATAAAACACTTAGGAAACTAGCATTTAAGTACCTAGCCTGAGGTTAAAGCTTCCATTTAGTATAAACCAATTCAAATGACCCACAATCTCACCTCCATCAGTTCAGCTTCCGAAAAAGAACTAGTCGAGACCACATCATCCCATTTTGCAGTTCTTAAACGAGACTAAACAAAGAAAAAACATGAAATATTACCACATCATTACAAAGAAAATCCATCCCTATTTGCAAACATTATCAAATCATTCTTTCAAAAACATTTTATTCTAAAAAGAGGTCCATTGAGCTAATACCAAACTTGTAGGAGAAGCATCCAAAGGATCCATAGGCTTCCGTTGACTAGACCGTGTCAAACTAGACCTGCTCCTCACAAAATTACCCTTTTGACCATTACTCGATGTAGCACTTAAATTACCTTTATTCCTAGATTTCATCCATAAATTACCTTCTTGCTCCACCTCACTCTGCCCAAAATCAACAATTGTCAATAAAAAAGAATTTAAAAGAGAAATAAAAAATCAAGTCTCTTATGGTATGTTTGGTTATTACTTTCACCACCTGCTATTTTTACTTTCTGCTCCCTCAAAAGTTGCTAAAAATACAAGAAAAATTGATTAAAAAAGAAGTAATGACTAAAATGTAACACCAATTCTAACATAATTGTTATATATAAAACAAAAATCATATATTTTATTTTCCCAAAAAAATCAGATTTCTAATTTTTAATTCTTCAAACGTACAAGTTTCATATCCAAATGTGCTTTTTGCTTTTGGCTTTCAAGAAGCAAAATTCACTGCCATAACTTCAACTCCAATTTGTTCCTTGCTTTTGCTACTTACTCTTTTAACTTCTGGAAACGAAAGGCAAAATGGATCAATTTCAATTTATATAGAAAATATTCTGCTTGAATGTATGTTACATTAGAAATAATTGCTGAAATATAATTTTGTGTTTTTACTAATTACGTTTCCATTTTATTTTAGGCTCCATTTAATCAATGCTTTTACTTTTATTTTTCATAAAAAAAGAGAATAAAAAGTAAAAAATAAGCAAAATGCATCAACCAAACCAAAGAAAAAATGTAAACAGCCAAATATTCATCATTCAAAACCAAAATACTTCCATTTGAAATTAAATTGAACAAAAACTCTGATACAAAAAATGGCAGAACCTCAGAAGAAGCCAAATGGCTCCTTGAAAGTGGAGTGCGGGAGACAGAGCGGACACGTCTCCTGGTATCCACAACGGACAAGCTCCGAGACAACTCCTTGCTATTCCCCGACGCCGACGCTTGTTTTCCATCAGGGCCACTTCTGAAAACAGATCTGCCTCTCCTATTGCTATTCTCATCGGCGGCAACTGCTTTGTGCTTGGTTTTGGAAGTAATTTGGTCAGATTTAAGGACGGATTTGAACACAGTTTCATCGTCGTCGTCGTCGTCGTCCTGATTGTTGTTGTTGCTGTTGTTGTCAAAGAGCGGGTTGTCTCTTTTTATGGAGAACTCGGGGAAGTCGGCATGAGAGGTTCTCGAAAAGGCGCTTACACTTCTGGATCTCCGAGGTGGAGCTGTTGCTGCTCTTTTCGAAGAGTCGGATGACGATGGCGTCGTCTTTCTCGTCGGGTTCCCTCTTCTCAGAGAGGATTCGAACGTCGAAGATGCCGCCATTTTTCCTTCTCTAAGGTAGGAATGGGGGCAGACAGGGGAGCTGAAGAAAAGATTACGGTCCAATAATAAATAAATAAATAAATAAAAGAGACAAAAAAAATAGAAACTAATTACAATCCTTGCAAGTCATCGGTCTTATCATCCTTAGCGCTGCACTCTGTTTCGCTGGCGCTACCGTAATTTAAATTTAGTGGCACGTGCTGATTTTTATCCACGTCATCTTGGGATTGCTTGTGCTCAACTGTATCAACTAATTCCATATTTGATTGTCAATTCAATCATCCAAACCTCAAATTTAATTATTTACGGAATTTTTTTATTATGTACTAATCAGAAAAAATTTGATAATTTTAATTAACATAGTACCTTTTTCGTATTTTAATGGATTTTTTTTATATATACCGAACATGATAATAATATTTATTTTAATTATTGCATCCCAACAATCATATTATACCCTAAGATATGTATTATAATATTTATTATTAAAACAAATATTAATAAAATTTTTAAAAAATATGCTCAAACCTTAACGTGTAGTGGCAAAATTATAATCAGCTGCTTTATAGATTCAATAAATGAAAGGTTTATTAAATGAAATTTACTTGTGATTATTTAGATTAAAGTTGTGGGGCTTAAGATTATTTATTGTATATTTCATTTGCTACACTATGTTGAAACTCAGAGAAAAGAGGAAAAGGGATCTATTAAATTTATTTATAAATATGGTTGTACTTAATCCAAGATCAATTATAATTGAATTTTAAAATGCATAAAAACGTATATATTTTTTATTTATAATTTTGTCTGTGGAAATAATATTAGTCAAATTAAATATTAAAATTCAATGAACTAGGATTTTTCTCTTTCTTTGTTTTATAACTCTTTAATGATCAGATTTTTAATGTTTCCAAGATAGAAGAAACAACTAGTTTTACCTTTGTACAATGAAGTCTTAATCTCAACATTTAAGATGTCCTATATAGGTCTATCTCCATAATAATATTAAAACTTGGCTAATTTTATTTCATTATATTATGGACTATAATATTATCTTAGATCAGATTAATTATCTGTTAATTTTGGAAAAAAATAAATAATGTAAATTCAAATTTTAATTATTTGAAAAATCTAACAATCTTTCATTTGGATTATATTATTTAAATTCAAATTTTAAAAAACAAATTTTCTTAAAATCGACCCAGTCAAGACAACTGAAAACTTCATAGGTTCAATTTAAAATAGACTGATTTTAAAGATTATTTCAAACGTCTTAGTATCCAACAAAATTTGTGACTTCAAAAAATAGCAATAACAACATCCATAGGATACAACAACTTAACTCTTATCTACATGAATTTGATGTGGTAGTGTAGCAATACACAATAATACTTTCTTGATGATTGATTTCTTTATTGGATTCATTTGTCAATTATCTTAATCTCTACTTTATACAACCCAAGCTTCCAAAAGAAATTCTTTATGATTTATTTGTAAACTTGTCTGTCTACTTTGAATATCTTCATTTATGCTTTATGTGTCAAAAACATAACCTCATGACTATCAATTTATACCCCATCTATGTTTAAAGAATAACATATCTTAAGCATTCACATATGAAAAATGCATATATACATAAACACTTTATTACTTAATATCATACAATAATCATTATTTATAATAAATGCAAAAAACATTAACAATGACCAAACAAAATTAAACATAAAAGCATATAAATATATCAATGTTAAATCCTTTCACTAACCAAGTACATTAAAAGACTCTACGATACCCATATCATAAACATATTTATTGAAAGTGACAAGACGTAGTTCCTTAGTAAGAAGATCAACTATTATGTCATCAATTCCAATAAGCTTTACTTAAATATCACCATTTTCACAAGTTCTTTAACAATTAAATATTTTATCTCCATATGCTTAACTCTTTTGATACCTTTATCGTTAATAGCGAACATAATTGCTTCTCCATTATCACACTACTAGAAATATGCCCATGCGTTGCACACGAAGATAATAATATATGTTGTAATAGTTGTATTTATTATATTTTTATTCTATAACCTTTTGTAAGTAAAGACTAAAGTAAGTCCATGTACTAAAAATTACAAATACAAAATATTATAATCAGCAGTAGAAAATGTAAAGCAATATTATGATAATTTGTAATTTTATATATTAATTGTTAGCTTAGTTACAAAAAGCGATGTCTGTAAACAAAAGTCAGTATAAAGATTTGGCAAAGCTCTATAAAAGATATACTATTTTGTGTCCTTTTGAGGTAGTATGTCAATGTTCTGGTAGGACTCTAAGCATATATAAAAAAATATAGTGATAATGTGTAATAGAACATGAAACTTTGTGACCAAACAATTATTTAAAACTAATAGTAACTGATATTGGGCTTGGACCAATAGAACTTCATATCAAGGATATTGGGCATTTTGTTTGGAATTATGACACTACAAATCAAGAATAATAGGATATTAAGCATTATAATTAGAACCATAGGACCTTAGATCAATGATATCAAACATTATTCTTGAAAACATAATTGACCAAATTAAGGATATAATTAAATAGTATTAAGGATATCGCCTGTTATATTTGGAATTGTAATACCTCAGATCAAGAATATCAAGCATTAGACTTGGAAGTGTAGTACTACAGATCAAGAATATCAAGCATAATGATTTAAACTATATCACTATAGATCAATAATATCAAGCATTATACTTGGTATCATAACAACCTATATTAAAGATATTATCTATTATGCTTAGAATTGTAGTAATACGGATCAAGGATATTTAATGGATATCAAATAGATATCATGACATAGAAAAGATATCATCTATTGCGCTTGGTACCATAAGATATCAGATTAAGGGTATCAAGCATTACACTTGGAATCATAACATTACAAATCAAGGATAATATGTAGTGGATATCAAGTAGATATCATAACAAATCAAGGATATCAAGCATTGTAATTGAAACTATAGGACCTCAGATCAAGAATATCAAGGATTATGCTTGAAGACGTAACATAACAAATCAATGATATAATTAAGTAGTATTAAGGATATTATTTATTATGTTGGAAACCGTAGTACCTTAGATCAAGGATCTTAAGCATTAAGCTTGGAAGCGTAGCATGATAGATCAAGGATATCAAATATAATGATTTGAACTGTATCACCATAGATCAAGGATATCAAGCATTATGCTTGGCACAATAATATCTTATATAAAGAATATTATTTATTATGTTTGAAATTGTAGTCCTACAGATCCGGGATATTTAGTGGATATTAAGTAGATATCATGACATAGTATTTCCTGAACTGTGACACAATACATCAACCATTTTGCTTAAATTAAGACATGTCTATCATATGGCTGTCTTGTAATATGTTATTGTAAGTTACCGCACAAGCATGTTACTATATTTTTATGTACCTCAAGATTTAAAATTAATCAACATTTAAAGCAAAAGCCGCTTATGTGAACTATTTTCCCACAGTTAGTAATTTTTTAATATTGAAATAAAAAAAAATCCTTGCTTGTGATCCACATGATTTTAAAATCTTTAAAAATTTTACTTAAGATAGGTTAAGAAAATAACCTTTTATGTATTTTTATTAGATTGTTTGAGAAGCTTAAATTGTAGATACTTGCATATAATTACTAATTCATGCAAAATTTGATGCAAGTAATAATTTTGTACTCCATCTATGCCAATAGTTAATGATAAAAAAGTTGAAAATTTTATATGTGCAACTTTTCAAATATTTTACCTAATAAAAATACTAAATTGGGAAAAAAAGAAGAAAATTGTAGAAAAAAAAACAACATAAAAAGATAAAAAAATATAATAAATCCAAAAATGCCCTCGAGAGAAAAAAGTAGCATAGATTTAAAAGACCAAAAGAGACTTTCAAATGAAGCAAAGACCAAAAAACCCAAAAAAAAAAATCTTTTCTCCCAACCTAGCCAATTGATATCCACATGTCAATCAATTGGACATGACACTTGGTGATCAATTAGACCTTTCAGGAGACAGATTTAGCATATAGGTATAGATAGATACGGCTTACTACGTGTCAGACAATTGGTTTAATGGGTCCATTTCCTTGCATCAACCTGCATGCAAGAAAAATACCTTATTACTCAACGAATAATAGTTTATTCCAATCCAATTTCATGCCACATGTCACCTAATTGGTAGCCAGATGGCATCCAATTGAAGCCTCATTGGACACTTTTAATTGATATAGGTATGGATAGGTATAAGATAGAAGTAACACAAGCCACCAGGTGGCAAAAACAATCCTGGAGTCGACCCTAATCAACGTTCAGATGAACAACGAGGCCTGTATACCATGAGCAAACTTCATTCGAGAATAGTCTTTTTCACCCCATTTGGTCACCATGTGGCATGATCAAGACACATTAAAAAGCACTCCTTTCTAGCTCAATTAACAACCATGTGACAACTATAGGAAACCTCCAAAAACACTCCCCCTCAACTCAATTGCAAGCCACATGTCACCCTGAACCCCATTCACTTAGTGTATATATGACAGATCATGCAGCTTCCATTCATCAGCACCATTAGCATGCCATACATCCGACGTGGCACATTTCCTTCTGCTGAAATAGCCACATATCATAACCTGGAAGTGTCGTTGGGGTTTTTTTTTTATATAGAGCTATAGATAGGTATAAATATATAGTTGGACCCTCACTTTGTATTAAGAATATCTAAAGAATTAAGAAAATATCTAATTAATTAATGAAAGAAATATTCAAAAAATTTTACATACTAACATGTATTCTTAGAAGATTATTCTAACTAGGATGGTGCTTATAGCTATGCTACGAAAAATGTCATAGGAAATATAAATTATGTCGTATTGGATTTCAATTTGATACCTTCAAAAGATAAATTGTTTGTAGAGAAAAAGATAAATTGGTATTAATTGCAAATAATTATTTGTGTTTCTTTCAATCACTGGAAAGTTGGTAGAGGATAAATTTATTTTAGTAGTATATTAAATAACAACAATTCCTTAAATAAACGAGACAATAAAATAATTGAAATGGAACACCATAAGCAAATTAAATTGTCAAAAAAAAAAGTTCACGTTTTGGTCAAATAAAATGATCACACTATTAGACGATGGTTAAATATGTCTTTTTCCTATTTGTTTGGTTTTTGTTGTTGTACTACTTCTGCTAGACCTGTTGTATACATGAAAAAATAAAATTTGTTTAGCGTCTAATTTTTAATAGGCTTTTAAATTGAATTAGTAAAAGATTTGTTAAGTAATGTATTTAACATACATGATTTTTTATTTTTTTGCCAATGGTTTTTCTAGCATTAAGTCCTTATTTGTTGAGACATGAGTAGTAGTTTTGATCGTATTTTTTTCTGCCACAACAGTAACAGAATCTAAATTGATAGGCAAAACAATTAAGGTAGATATCATGTTTGGAGTTATCGTGCCTTTGATAGTGACTCCCCTTAGATAATGGTTAATCAAGTTTCCAAATTTGTCTTGATTGTGATGGATTCCTACTTTGAGATACATTAGGCCTTCTCAACGGTTCCTTCTTTACAAATTACTCATGGTAAATAACAACACAAAAATAGAGTGATTGATGCAATTATTCTCCCCAAGTCTACTTTACTTTCAAATGGGTCATCTAAAGCCAACTGTCTATCACTTATTGACAGTTTTTTCCCTCCAATTGGAGAAACAAAAATTTTATTGGGTGGGCATGAAAAAGTAAAATTCAATCATTCATCAAGGTTTTCATATTTATTCACACCTCAAAAAATAGATCTGAAAGAAAAATAAACATTTTCCTTTCCAAAAAGAAAAAAGGCAAAAGTAATCTTTTACCTTATGTATCATCACAATAAAGAGAGTTCAACTCGACAGGGGAAGAAACGGAAGCTAACCAACTGGCAAAAGAGAGGCTAAAGACAGTTAAGAGGCTGATCGTTGAGAGCAAAGATGTCAAAAACAACAAAATGAGGAGAATATTGTCAAATTGTAGTAGTATTTATCTTTTTTATATATAATGAATGGCAAAAGTTTTATAAATTCAGTGTATTTGTTTATTCAATGATGACTGTGAGTTATGTATACTGAGAAATGTGTAGATTTTTTTTTATTTTGTTCAATGAATTGGATGGATATTTATTGTAATTAAAACATTCATGTAAATAATATTAGATTTCAATTAATACATATTATATGAATTTGTCCTCCAACTATTAAAAGTAAAAAATTATTGTTTTAAAGTATTTTTTACTGAAATAAATAAAAGCAAACCAAATAATTAAAAAAAATTTTTGTTCAATGAATTGGATATATATTCATTGTATTTTAAACATTCAGGTATAAAAGAGATGTCTAAATCTATATATTTATGTTCATGCAAAATAAGAGGATTTAATAGTAAATAATATTAGATTGCAATTAATAAGTATGATACGAATCTTTCCTCTTAAGTATTAAAAATTGAAAATTGTTGTTTTCAAGTAATTTTAAATGAAATAAATAAAAGAAAACCAAAGAATGACATTTACTAAATGCTATTTCTTAGGTATACAATGAGAGTATGAGAATATTGTATTGTTAAGTGGTTACCCAAGACTAATTAGTATGGGTTAATTAAAATGCAAGCAGTAGGTATGAAGGGAACAAATGGGTAAAGGAAATCTGTAAACAGATGAACAAATCAAATCATATGCCTATAAAGTTGTAGTATTTTAAGTTAATAACAACATTCAAACTACCCTTGAATAAAAATTCTTGATGCCTTTGATAAAAAAAGAAGAAGCAGCATTTGACATATTCTTCTCCAACAAATATTCCACTTAGTTTTTTAAGTTTCAAAAAAAAAATCTAATAAGACCATCAAACTGGTAGATAAGAACTCAATAACGTTTTCAAAAGAATAGTCTTAGAACCTTTACAGAGATTTAGCAGCATAAAGATGAGAGACATTAATATTGTGGCCTGATACTAAACTTTCATCCACGTTCATTATATAAAACTTTTAAAGTACCTCTTGTGTGCTTGAAGCTGTACCTTGCTTCATTTTGGTTTAAACATACAAGAACAATCAAACTACACGATAGAATAGCTACACCTACTGCCTCTAAGGTGAAATGAAGAAAGTTGGTACAACCAACACAATGGTGACAGACATAAGAATCTTTAATTGCATACTATAACAAATCTTACTTAAGATGTCATTGCCAATAAATGGTTTAAATCTTGTATATCAGAGAGAATGTACAGATAGTTCATATCAAACAATCTAATATTGTGATTATATAAAGAGAAAATAATAAAAATTTATACCTTTCAGCCCCAGGCTTTTTTTTCAATCCTTTCATTGCATGTTCAAGTTCTTCCACTTTCTGCTCAAACACACAGTTGCACATTTAATTTCAGATATAGAATTGATTTGCATGTGCTTATCTACATAAGTTGGCACAAAAGGACATGCTTATGTTTCTTGCATTTGTTGTAGCTTGTTGCACTTCACAAAATTGAGTTTCTAGTTGGCAAACTTTATTTTCAGAGTTGACCAATTTCTACCTAGTGTCTTCTTGTAGTAGATAAAAAAATAAAAATATGATCCCTTAAGAATTTAGATGAAATACTAGTATCACTTGTTTAAATTTCAAAATAAGATGGCAATGCATATGTTACCACATAGATATATTAACTGTGGCATCCACTTGCAATGGGTTAATCAGTATGGTTTGTGCTTTAGGGGCACAAATATGTTTGGTGGGTTTGAATTTGTAGCTATTTTAATTTAAAGTGTTATTTAATAGGCTTGAACTTAAAATGAAGTGATGGTTTCCGTTAATGTGTTCAAATTGTACCTAATATGCCTACAGTTTCAAACTCTAAGAGTTCCCCTTTTGTGACAATGAAAAGAGAAGTATTAGAGAATTATCCTTCATAATTTTGATGTATGTGTTCTAATAATTTTGCTTAATATTGCGGTTAGATTAATATTTCTTTCATTTTTTGAGTGCATGCTTTTGGATTAAATTTCTATGCCTGAAGAATGATCAACTAAAATTTTTCTAAAATATAAACTAAAAGACTAAGAAGCGAAACATAAAAAAAAAAAATCTTACATTTTGTCTATGTTGCTGTACTCTGAATGTACGTTTTGATTGACTTTGGACCTTTAAAAAATTTGGTGTGTCTTCCTTTTCATTTTTTTGTGCATCTATTATTGCGCTAATTAATAGAAATGGTTGAAATTTCATGCTCCATAGAATGCTACATGCCTATTATTCCCTTACAACCCATAATTTGAATTTGCATTAAAAAGCAGACATCACTTGCACTTACAAGATTCATGATTTCATGATAGTTCCCTTTTTCTATAATAGCTCCATAAAACATGACAGCTAATCTTAAAACAATATCTGAGAGAACAATACTAATAATTTTCGATAGTGAAATATAGTTTCACCATGGCACCATAGTCTATGAAGTGAAATTTTACTTCTTAGAAGCTTTGCAGAGTAAGGTTTCAAATATACAGAAAAGAATTCTAATTCACAGAAGCTTCAAAAACCTATAATACTCCTCATAAACGTACTGTTTTGCATAAAAAAAAGCAAAAATGAAATTAAAAAACAAAAAAAAGAGCTGCTAAAAATAGCTGAAACTCATTTTACATTACATTTAAAGGATGATGAATTTTATGAATTTAAAATGTAGCTTAGATTGTTTCAATCACTTCCACATCTATAATCTTAATAAGATTTCAAAAGGCTCTAAAATTAGAGTCATTTTGCACAAAAAGCTAGAACATTTCATTTGTTCTAAATAATCAAACTAATTACCCAAAGAAACCCAAATCAAGAAAATACTCTCCCTTCACCCAAAGAAAAAAAATTAGTAGATTCAACCAACAGGTACATAAAAAATAAAAATAAAAATTTCCATATTAAATTAAACATCTCTCAACACTAGATTCAAAAGAGAAATCAGAAAGAGAGTACTTGAGAGAAATTGATACTACTTCTATGAAAACTGACTACAAAATAAGAAGAAGGAAATAGGAATAGAGAAGATGCTACTCAAAAAATCATTTAACTAATTAAGTAGGAAGAGAGAGAGAGAAGGTACCAATAAATGAGAGTGAGTTTAACGTGATAAAAGAAGAGATGGAAGCAGACCGACCGACAAAAGAGAGGAACCAACTCGAAAAAATAAGAGTCAAACAACTCAGAGAAATAAAGAAGAGTTAGACAGGAATGCAAAAAGCCTAATATCAATACGACGTCATTTTGATGGACCAAAGGTAAAAAAAATAGAAAGTGGATCTAATTGAATGACATTTGTCATTCAATTTGAGACTCAATTGAAAGAAATTGAAGGATTAATTGAAGGAAATTGAAACATCCCACTTTTATATATCTATTATATATATTGATTAGATTGATAACTTTACAAAAAATTTCAAAGTGTTTTTTGGAGACTGCAAACAAATTTAGAGCTCCAAAATATATGCATTACTATTACAAAAAATTACTATAAGAGCTATATAGTTTTATGAGCGCTTGTTTTTGAGTGCTAGTTTACTTAAAAAATTTATGGACAACTTTGATGGGAAGTTAACAATGTGCAATTTGTCTTGCCAATATCAACCTAAAAATGTTCACATAACACTCAATCCTTCAATCTACATAGAAACAAACATAAATAAATGCAAGTTGAAGAAAAGAAGCAAAATAAAAGAAAATTAAAATAACATGAACAAACATATCTAAATGACCATTGGAAAACAAAGAAATCAATTTTTAATGGTAACAAATAAAAAAAAAGACTATGGAAAATAACATCAACGAAACTTATTATATCAAGAAATGTTACTTTATAGTTAGTGACCCCTTACTATTGCAATGTTTGTTGGAGAAGAAGATAAACTCCTACTGAAAAAATTACAAAAGTATTAGTTTATAATAACTAAGTGAAATAGGAATGGGAAAAAAATTCAAATATAGAGGATGAAAAACCATCTTCTAAAATAATTGCAACAACAAATAAAAATTACAGCAAAAAAAAAATCTTTCATCAATAATAGATGATGAATAATAACAATAATGAAGATTAGAAACTGCAAGCAATTAGTGCAAAAATACCAAACCATATTGCATATACGATAAAGCCTACATCTTCCTGAAATCAATGCTTAAATTATATTAATTAATTTTAAATCCTTTTAATTTAATATAATTTTTAAACCATGAGTCAGAAGGGGTAAAAATCAATTTTACAATTTAGATCTATATCAGATTAATACTAAAACAAAAAAAAAGATTGATTAAGTTTGATAGGGTGTAAACAATTTTTTTACTCGATTTAATATGAGAACTGAAATAGTCCAAAACAATGTGACCCTTGTCACTGCTTGTTGCAATTTTTTCCTACTTGCAAAACCAAATAATAAAAAAAAATCATGAGTCAAATTGGCTAAAAATCTATTTAACCATTCAGATCAATACCAGATTAATGCTAAAACAAAAAAAATTGATTAAGTTTGATGGGGTGAAAACAATTTGTTTACTCGACCTAATATAGGAACTAAATTGGTCCAAAACAATGTGCTTCTTGCCATTACTTGTTCGAATTTTTTCTTACCTGCAAAAGCTAAATAATAATAATAAAAAAGAAAACAATAAGATGTTTTAAAAATAAATAAAAATGTAAGCAAAACATTACATCAATAACCTTTTATTTGTAATGAAGGGTGAAGGAACAAAAAGTAAAATGTAAAATCTTAATCATAAAAATAGGAAAACTACAAAAATCTTTGTCTCGTTTTTTAAACTTATTGTTGACTTTGAAGCAGCAGAGAAAATATATTGAAATATTTGCTGCATAAATTTTTACGACTTTTAATTTTAAAAATTTTTAAAAAAAATTCACAAGAATGGAGAATAAAAAATTTTAAAAAATCATTAAGCATTTAAGAATGAAAAATGAGCTGAAAATCAAATAAAAAACCTGGAAAAAAAATCAAAAACTACATATGGTCAAATACTAATCTAAATAATTAACAAAAAAGTAAAAGTAAAAAAGTCAAAAAGATGTAAAATCGGGGAATGCAAAGGAATGAATAAAAAAACTAGCATGAAACCAAGAGGAATAAATGAACAAAGGGAAAAAAAAAGCCAAAAAGAGGTGAACAAAAATAGAAATGAACCAAAATAAAGAAGAAAGAAGAATGTTAAAACGGAATGAAACAACAAGTATGGAAGTTAAACAAATGAGGTGGAAAAGAAATAGGAAAAATTAAAGAAATCAAGCGAAGAGAATAGAAATCTCCAAAACGTCAATCGGGTGGAAAAAACAAAACAATTAATAAAACACAATATAAACTTCAAAATGCCTTCAAAACAAAAAAGACATTTATCATCAAAAGATAAAAAAATCCTCAAAATCAATTAAACTTCCTAAAAAATCATCAAAAAATCTTCTGACATCACCAAATCCGAGAAAGGCCTATGTGGAGAAAAGTAACGCAAGTCACTTGGTGGCAAAAGCAATCCTCAAGCCAAACCTTAATCAATTTCCAAGCGAATAACGAGGCCCACATGCCATTAGCAAGCCTCATCTAAGAGCAGTCCCTTCCACCTCATTTGATCACCACGTGACAAGATCAAGATACATAAAAAAGCACTCATTCCCAACTCAATTGCAAGTCACATGTCACCCTAAACACCATTCACTTAATATATATATATATATATATATACATACATACATACACATACATACATATATATATATATACACACATGATAGATCATGTGACTCTAATTCACCACCACTATTGGCCTACCATACATCCAACATGACACATTTACCTGTGTTGAAATAGCCACGTGTCATAACCTAGGAGTCCCGTCAGGGTTTCTTTTCATATAAAGTTATAGATAATGGCATAGGCCTAACAATAGAGTAAATTATCGGTAACTCTTTAATAAGATTTTTGGACCAAACTACCTATGTAGCTACTCAATAGAATGGTAAAAATTTTATTTCCATTATGGACAAAGTTATGAGTGTCTATTGTACATTTTTTAATATAGTACACCACCTATCAACATAAAAATGTATTTTAATGTAAATTTCTTATTAGTTGAATAACTGAAGGAGTTAGAATTTGTATAATCCGTCAATATAAACGATAATTCACTAAACTTGCACAAAAATATTAAAAATTAATAATAAGTGTATGCATTTTTATTTAAATATTTTGAATTTAATTTTTTAAAATTTAAAGCTAATTAACTACACCCATAAATTTGGACATGCTATTAATCTCATTATAATAAAACTTTTATTTGAAATAAGGATATACTAAGAATTTTTTTAATGAAAATTTCTCTAACAATAAAAATAAATGAGGTGAAAAGGAAGAAAGAAAGACAAAAGAGAAAAAGAAAAAAGAGAATAAAATGCATATTGATTACCCATCTATAACTTTATATAAAAAGAAGCCCTTATGGGGCTCCTAAATGGTGCCACATGGGCTCATCAACAAAAAGTTCTTCAAGTTAAAAAAAAAAAGTGGCTAGCAAGTCAAATTAGGAGATGGAAAATCTAGAAAGACTAAATATAGTAAAGCAAAAAGGTAAGAAGAAGACATTGAAGGGGAATTTCCTTACACGTTTAGAAAGCGGTCAATTCTTAAATGATGTCGTTCAAGATGTAACAGAAAAAAAATAAAAGAAAAGAGGGAACATAAGCCACTTTCACAATCCAACTAAGACTGTGTTGGCAACATTATGTGGTCTCTTTACTTTCCTCAATGCAAATCTAATTCTCAAGCTGGTTGATATTGTCTTTCCATGCAAGTAAAAATAACTTTTCTCTTTCCTACCTTCACGACTCTTTTTACTTTTGGCCACTGTCACTTTTTTGGGTTGGCTTGAGGAGGTAGAATGGATGATAAATTTTTTAAATTTTTTTGTGGATTGATGTTAGAGAGTTTCAATTTTTGGGATTTAGTTCTAGCCCTTTGAATTTTGGGATTTGATGATAACCTTTAGATTTTGTACAGTTGATCGACATGTGCAACCCAAGACAGGTTTCGTGTCTGGATTATTTGACTATGCCATTTCCTTAACTATTCTTGACCTGCTTCCATCCAACTTTTCTATATTTTTTATTTTCACATCCTTTGACCATTATGAGTTTCATTTAATTTGAGTTTTTTCTATTTTTGTGTGTCTGCATTTGGTTGCTTTTCTTTTGTTCGTTTCGATTTTTAGAATTTTTGACGTTTCAACAAGTCTTCAATTTAGGGTTTTTCCTTAAACACATTCTTCTTTATTTTTGGCTATGTTTATTTATTTGTGTTTCATTTTCCCTTTAGTGATTGTTGTATGGGTTGTTCTTTTGTTGGGTAAAGTTAGATTAGATTGTACTGTACAATAGTTTTTAAGGCGTTTTATTATTGTAGTTTTGTTGTTTGGTTTGTTCTTCCTTTGTTTTGCCGTTAGATTTTGACATTCGTTTGATGATTTAGGCTTATTAGCGAGGATAACTATTCCTAGTCTAAAGTGGAAGCTCGATTTGAATATGGAAAGCTTTGAATAAAGTTGAGACATGAAGAAATAGTTAGTTATAGTTGGTTCAATGTCAAACTTGTAAATAAAGTAATCATCAGTTATTTATTTAGTATAGTTGTTTTTACTTTTACTTTTACCTTCTACCTTTAGTAATAAGGTTCTTAGTTAGTTAGGCTAAACTAATTTTCCCTCTTTAATTTACTTAGTTGGTTTAATAGAGTATAGGCTCTATTGTGTATTCATTTTTAGTTAATAAAAAATCCAATTGAGAGTTTTTCTCAATTCTCTCCCATGCAACTTCTTTGAATCTTACATGGTATTAGAATGGGTTACAACAATTCCTGGTATGATCTTTTCTTTTGTTCAAAAATTTGATTAAAGATTGTTTAGATCTATTTTTCTTTTGGCTTCTTTGATTGTTCGATCAATTGGATCTTGGCCTTGTTGAATTGAATCTTGTTTTGTTGATTTTATGAATCTGTAAATTTTGAGGTTAGAAACTAGTAATGGAAACTTTATTAAATGAAAAATCTTCAACATTAGTTGTTGAAGATGCACAATCACCTTATTATCTTCATCACACTGATCATCATGGATTAATTGTGATAAACCATAAACTTACC